TATTGAGACCCCCTTAAATTTTTCACTCTTATAAATCGCAGCCATTTGTTATGCAACAGCCATATCAGCCTCCACCCCAAGCCCGGTTTCTCACTAAAGCTAAGCAGTGAAAACCACACGGGAAAACTAAGTTCAACCTGTTGTCTGTGCGAGTCCTATTGCCCCAGTAAAGTGAAGGGGACTTTCACCGTCTTTCGGAAGGGGCGTTAAACCACCCTTACTGTCCAATGGCACTTCTCATACAGAGTAGGGGTGTAGACCCGGTGTCCTGGCCACATTCCCTCCATCAGCCCTTATGATCATGGCCTCCCAATCATCCCCATCAACCGAATTGGCTGTATTACTGACTATCCATTCCATTTATAGCTGAGCTGAGCACACTGGCGCTGTTGTCCTGTGGCTGCCATGACATCATCCAAGTAGAAGCTGCACACTAATGGTGTAGTGGGGAGATTCCACTTATGATTGTAAAGCGCTTTGGGTGTATGTCCATAATCAATAAATGCGCTATATAAATACACAGTACATTAAATTACATTACATAATCACAGCCATTTGATAAACTACAATGATTTGCAAATGGCTGCAATATAACAGAGTGAAAAATTTTAAAAGGTCTGAATACTTTCCGTACCCACAATATATATACATTTATTTAAATTTGTCAACAATAGTGTATTTTTTTTCTTTTAATCTCTCCATTAAATAATCTTGGATTCATTTTCCATCAGAAAGATTAATCAGCACTATTTTACATAACTATTTTCGACATTGATAATAATAAATGTTTCTTAGGGTGCTTTCACAGCTAGATATTTGTTTCGTAACCTGGCGCGTTTCCCCCAGCTTGCGCGGTTCATTCTGCATATCCAGCAACAGCGCTCGGATCCGCACCAAAACAATTAGTCTAAGATTGCCTGAATGAGGTGGTCTCGGCTTGATTGAAACAAACTCTGGAGCGGATGGATTGTATAGAGAAAGCAATACGATCCGAACAGGGCTCTATCACAGAGTATTATGGATACGTAATTGGCATATGGCTATATGAAAATAGTAGATGTGTGTTTCATGTCAAATATGAAAGTGAAAGCAAGCTAACTATTAACAAGAGCTGTTTATCCGAAAATTGACCAGACAGCAGTCTTGGTTTATCTGTTATTCCTCTCTATAATGTAAAACTTACAATTTATTAGCCAACTGCTATGTATGAGCAAGTCTTACCTCTGATTTGGTGACAATATCTGTGGGTGTCACCATTCAAAGTTAAAGCACAGCTTTTCGCTTACATTGCCTTATTGCTCATCATCATAAATTAAAGTAAAGACACATGACAGCTGAACAGGACATTCAGCTTATTTTGGTTCGTTTAGAAACTTTGCCGCACGAAGGCGAACCGCACCATGAACAAAGCGCAACAATGTAACAATTTGAATGCCTGTTTCGGAACAACAGAATTAATCCACATGTGTGAAAGCACCCTTAATAAATAAATAAGAAATCAGAATAATTTCTGAAGTAATGATGCTGAAAATTAAGTTCATTAAACTTATTTATGGCAATTTAATGTTTTTTTTTTTTTTTATAAAAACCAATACTATTTACAATATTAGTGTTTTTACTGTATTTTTTATCTAATAACTGTAGCCTTGGTGAGCATAAGAGACAATCAAATACATACAAAAGCCGAACGCCCAATATTCAACCTACATCTATAAAATATCGAATTATGATGTAAAGCAACATTACCGAATGTCCTTATATAAGTTAACAATTTAAAAAGATTCGGTGGTTGGGTCACATAACAAAATCAAACAGCTAAATGAAGCCCCATAACCAAAGATGCTCGTTTACAATAAAAGTTCAGCTAAAGTAGTGTTTCATTGCTAATTTCAGCACGAAAAATCCACAGGGTGGCATATTTCCCCCAAAACGCATAAAGCATTTTAGTACTTGAGCAGAAAATGAAAACATATTGCTCTAATGGGACTAAGTTCCTTCATTTTTCACTTTCACTCGATGCATCTTTGTTTATAGCCATGCATTCTGCTGCTTTTTAATTATATATTTAGCAACATGCAACAAAGGAAAGATGAAGCACAGCAGACAAATGAACATTCAGCTACTGAGATGAGCAAAAGCAGGATGACGAGGGCCAAAGCTGTTAAACAATCTCTCCTTTAACAAACAACAGCAGGCTTGAACAATGAGATGTGAAAGTTATTGTTATCTAAAAGACAAAAAAAACTATTCAGTCGCGCATCTGATTTCTTCAGTGTGTGTTTCTATAAAGGTTGATCCCAGTACTGTAGATTGTGGAGAAGTGAGCGCATGCAGAGAGTCTGAGCTCCAGCTGAAGCCATGCATTGTGCCAACAGCGCTGACTTTACAGTCATTCAATAGGCCTTTTCTCCAGCTGTTAGAGAAGAGCTTTGTTTGTGTGTGGTGTGGACAAGCTGAAGCATCTCCAGCACAAAGCAGAGGTCTGTAAAGCATGCCTCCAGTTAAAGAAAGAGCTTCATCACGTCTTTCTGCTGGGAATTGAACCACTCAAATTTTTGGTGCTTAATTTTAGGAATCTTTTGAGAACTTTGTTTTTTAGGGAGGTTTTTTTTGCACATTTTCCCCTGACACATTTTTGCAGTCACTCCAAATTATTATTATTTTTTTTAAATATCATCTTTTATTTGACAAATCACCTTTAGAAACCTTCTCTAAGAAAATAAATACTCCCCTCCTAACTCTAGCACCTTCTCATACTTCACATCAAAGTTCCTTTAAGCAAAGAAGGTCAAGGTGCTTCAAGATTGGCCAGCCCAGTCACCAGAGATGAACATTATTGAGCATGTCTGGGATAAGATGGAGGCATCGAAGATGAATCCAAAGAATCTTGATGAACTCTGGGAGTCCTGCAAGAGCGCTTTCTTTAACATTCCAGATGACTTTATTAATAAGTGATTTGAGTCATACAGAGATGTATGGATGCAGTCCTCCAAGCTCATGGGAGTCATACACAATATTCATTGTTTTTCCACTGCTCCATGACTTTATATTCTACACTGTACTTTATTTTTGTTAAGTGACAAGACTTTTGTCTAAGCAAAGTCAGACCTTTATGTCCTTATTAATTAAAAATCAAAGCCTGATCATATTTTATTTTGGTAAATAAGCGTAATCTAGAGGCCTTTGCCTTTCATATAAGCCACTTCTGATAGCAAAAACCAGGATACATAGGCAACAAGACTTTTGTCAGGTAGTGTGTATAACAGAGGTGGGCAAACTATGACCCGCTTCCATATGCGACCCGCTGAACACTTTCATCCTGCCCGCAAGGGAGTTTTTAAAATTCTGCTTTTGAGTAACGGTTTGGTTTCAGAATTAGAAAATTAATGATGCAATACAAGTGAACGCCATTTGATGGCAGTATTGCACGCGATACAGTTAGAATTAGAACACGCTCTTGGATATTAAAATGCACTTAATAACTGAAAATGACGAGACAAAAAAATACGAAAAATTGACTCTGAATGTTGTGTGTTTAAGGAAGAATGGACAACAAAATACTTCTTGACCAATATCAGACAGAAAGCGGTATGTCTAATATGCCAAGAAAGTATTGCTGTTTTTAAAGACCACAACCCAAGACCACAATCACACCGCCACACATTTACGTTCGAAAAACAAGAGGTGCTGCCTTTTTGTTGATAAGAAAAAAAAAAGTATGTCGCTAGGCAACGACTGAATCAGCTGGGTATTTTGCGAGAGTGTTGCTGTTGATATTAATATAACCTTATTTTCAGGCTCATTGTTCACATTAACACACTCATAATAACATGACTTTGAATAGCAAAGGCTAAGATTCTTCTTCCGTTTTGTTGCATAGTTTTATAATGGTTGATATGAGCACATTAACTCAAGCTCAAATAAGATTGTTGTGAATTAGACTCAAATTATATAATAATTGCATGGTAAATGTGGTCATTTTTGTCATAGAATATATTTACCATGCATACATCCACTTTAAAAAGTTCTTTTATCAAAGATGTGTGCTTTTATCAAGGTTCATGATGATTGATCTGTATATTTTCTAAAAGCAGTGCAAATTAGAATGTAAATTTGATTGAATAGTAAACTATAGGAATTATTTTTAATGTGTTAATGAGATATTTTTTCTATCAGACAATATCTTTTCTATTCTCCACTGTAAAAAAAACCCACATTATTATTATTATTATATTTAAAAAGAAATGATTTTATTGTTTTATGATGATTGATAAGTGATGATAAATATAAATAGCAGTGCAAATTAATTTGTAAATTCAACTCAATACTAACGATTAAAATCTGTTTTGTGTTAATGTAACGTGTCTGTTTGATATTACGTGTTCCAAGCACACTGCCACTATGAATAAGTTATTTTTTGAAGAATTTGAAATGTGGCCCTTCACTTGGTTTGCAAAACTTGATGTGGCTATCGGGTCTGAAAAGTTTGCCCACCACTGGTGTATGATCACCAATCGCTAATACGCAACAATATCAAATCACAGCCTAGTTTTTTTTTTGGCATAACTAATAAAATAGCATCAAATCCTGACCAAGCACAGAAGCATCAGGCCCAAGTGAGAAAACAACGGGACCATTAAGGTTAACAGATTCTCTCCACCTGTGCACCCTCTGCCCCCTTCCCACCCGGCCCGCATGCAAACGGAGCCGTTCCTGACCTGGAGGACAGAATGATGAGGTCGGCCGGGAGGTGATCTCCATTGGCTGCTCGCACTATCTCTCCTACAGACACCTTCATTTACCCAGCAGCCCAGGCGCAAGGGAATGTTCATCACGCGGGGTGGAAGAAGAGGGTGATGTGTGGAGATGAGAGGAAGGGCATAAGATGGACCGAGGAGAAAAAGCGCACACACACAGCAGGACAAGGGAAGAGAGACACAAATGCACACATTTAATCTTCAACAGAGAATAAAACACAATGTTCACTGCTCAACACCCATTTGAGCCGAGATAAATCATCATGCCTATTGACAAATTATTGTTTTCTATGGTGGATATGAAGATGCCTGGAAGAAATAACTGGCAAATGGATGTTGAAAGTGAAGACAATGTCAGGTCAGTAATAATCATTAGGCAAACATCCGCAAAAGGAAGTGTTGATTTATTCATTTAAAAAAAAAAGACATTTATACACACTCGTGGTTTTGTTATCTCAACAATTTTGGGTTTAGAGCAACAAAGTGCTTCGAAATTGGTTGAATTTTCATTTTTGGGTGAATTTGATAAGAAGTGTTTTTTTATTAATACAAATTGCATTCAAACACTTGTGTGTTATTGTAAACCCAATACTTTTAGGTTTGGAACAACATAAAGTAGATAAAATTTGGTAGAATCATAGTTTTTGGGTGAATTTCACAGGAAGTGTTGATTTGTTAATGTTAAAAAGCATTTACACACCCGTGTGTTATTGTAAACGCAATACTTTTGGGTTTGGAACAAAATAAAGTGCACACAAATTGGTAGAATTTGATAGAAAGTGTTGATCTATTAATTAAAAGGCATTTACGCAGCCTCATGTTGTTGTAAACTCTACACTTTTGGGTTTGGAACAACAAAGTGCATAAAAATTGGCAAAATTTTCATTTTGGGGCGAATTTGATAGGAAGTGTTGATTTATTAATTAAAAAGGGCATTCATATACCCTTGTGTTTTTCTAAACTCAATACTTTAAGTTTGGAAAAACAAAATGGATAAAAATGGGTAGAATCATAGTTTTTGGGTGAATTTCACAGGAAGTGTTGATTTGTAAATTGAAAAAGGCATTTACACACCCTTGTGTTATTGTTACTCAACACCTTTGGGTTTAGAGCAACACGGTGCTTAAAAAAATGGTAGAATTTTATTTTTGAGGTTAATTTGATAGGATGTGTTGATTTCATTCATTCATTCATTTTCTTGCCGGCTTAGTCCCTTTATTAATCCGGGGTCGCCACAGCGGAATGAACCGCCAACTTATCCAGCAAGTTTTTACGCAGCGGATAAGTCCGCAACCCATCTCTGGGAAAAGACGTGTTGATTTATTAATTAAAAAAGGCATTTACACAGCCTCATGTTACTGTTACTTAACACCTTAGGGTTCAGAGCAACACAGGGCTTTAAAAAATGAGTAGAATGGTATTTTTGGGGTTAATTTAATAAGAAGTGTTGATTTAATAATAAAAAGCGCTTGTACACACCCGTGTGTTATTGTAAAAGCAACACTTTTGGGTTTGGAACAACATAAAGTGCACACAAATTAAAATTTGATAGAAAGTGTTGATCTATTAATTAAAAAGGCATTTACGCAGCCTTATGTTGTTGTAAACTTAACATTTTTGGTTTTGGAACAACAAAGTGCATAAAAATTGGCAGAATTTCATTTTTGGGTGAATTTGATAAGAAGTTTTGATTTATTAATTTAAAAAGATATTCACTCACCGTTATGTTAATGTAAACTCAACACATTTGGGTTTGGAACAACCTAAAGTGCAAACAGTGGGGTTGAATTTGATAGAAAGTGTTGATTTTTTCATTTAAAAAGGCATTTACCAATCCTTATGTTATTGTAAACTCAACATTTTGGAGTTTGGAACAACACAGTGCATACAAATTGGTTGAATTTTAATTTGAGTGAATTTGATAGGAATCTGATAGGATAGAAATGCGTTTATTTATTTATTTATTTAAAAAAGCATTTATACACCATCATGTTATTGTAAACTTAATAATGTTGGGGTTTGGAACAACAAACCTTTTAAAACGTTGGAAGAATAAAAAATTTTTGGATGAATTTGATAGGAAGTGCTGAATTATTAATTAAAAAAATGCATTTACAAACACTTGGGTTATTGTAAATAACCCAATATTGTAATATTGCAACAAATAATATTGCAAATAATATTGTAAACCTTTTTGGGGTTGGAACAACAAAGTGCACACAAATTGGTAAAATTGTACATTTTGGGTGAATCTACAATTTAATCATTTAGTGTCTTCATTAAAATTAAAACCTGGCATCATTCATGACTGATTCAAGGCCTTATCTTTGGGTTATTTCTTATGAGCCTGATAATCATCACTTCCTTTTTTGGGTGTCGTTTGTGAGACAAGGGATGTAAAAAAAAAAAAGGACAGGGTCTCTTCTGATGGCTTGGACTCGTCTACCTGGAAGACAACAGTATAGCATCTGCTGGGACAAAATCTTTGCCGTTAACTTTAACTATGTCTCCAACCACAACCTGTAAGACACAAACTGGTAAACAACTCAAACATTTCATACTGTATCAAACCAGCAGCCACTGGCAGAAGAAGGAGAAATAACACACACTCATGGGCCACTTTATTAGGTCTAATTGTTCGACTGCTTGTTAATGCAGAACTAATAAACAATTTGCATGATAGCAATGCAATGAATTTGGTAATCTGATGAAGTTCAAACCGAATGGGGAAGAAAAGTGATTTAATTGACTTTGAATTGCAGCATTGTTGTTAGTGCCAGATGGCAGATCTACTCGGATTTTCACATATATTTATATCCTGGGTTTACAGAGGATGGTTTGAAAGAAAGAAAATATTCAGTGACCGGCTGCTCTGTGGGTGAAAATGCCTTGTTGATGCCAGTGGTGAGAGGAGAACGACCAGACTTTTGCTAAAGCCGAGTTTCCATGATCAATAATAAACAGAAAAACAAGGCACTAGGGCTGCAAAACGTTGGAAAAATCTAATATTGCAATGTTTTATGCAATGCATTATGTATATCGATAGGAACACAGTTTAACTAGATAACTTGAATATATATATTTGGAAAGAATTAAACATTTTAGAGAAGTGCATCTGCCAAAAAAACAAAACAAAAAAAACACTATTAAAAATACAGTTTAAAAACAATAATAAACACCCGCCAACCCGTTAAATGCGGGTAGATTACAACTGTGACGAGTAAGACAGCCGCTCCCACTAGCCACTCGTGGATAAGTTGGTGGTTTATTCTGCTATGGCAAGCCCAGATTAATTAAGGGACTAACCCGAAAAGAAAGTGAATGAATATGTACAGTATATTGCATATACTATTATGATCATAATGATAATTTTGCGATATATTGTGCAGCCCCAGACGCAGTCACATCAATACAGACCAAAAACCTCTGAGGAAAGCTTCTAAATCTCTAACATAAGGAATTAAGGCAGATCTGAATGCAGAATGCAAATCTGTAGAGCAGGGTGTACCTAATAAAGTGGCCGGTAAATGCATTACAAGAACCATCTTGGCATCCATCTTACACATTTTCATAAATCTTGCTAATAAATTCATATTTGATTTATTTAGCAATATTGGATCACTACACAAGACTCCATTTGAGATTAGCATTGAAAAGGAGTCCATTTCATCAACAACGTTCTCTCTGATACCCGTAAACAATTGATCTTTTTTCTGGATTTGCATTTTTAATCATCTTATTAACCATAATCCAATATGAACGAGGGAAGCAGCTTCTATTTTGATCTGAAATGGAGAGCTACTTAAATATGCATGAGTTAAGATATGATTTATAAGTATATTAAAAATGCATTATTCATTCTGCGCAATCTAATTCGAAGCATGTCACGGTGCGCTTTAATAAAAGCCTGTGCAAAGAGGAGTCCGGCTCCACAAAACTGTGAATATTGATGAGATGACGATAAAAATAAAACTTGACTGCGAGAGCTGCGGGAAATCATATACCGAAGTTAAAAGATGACATCATTTCCTATTCTGTGGCACTGTTAGGTCATCAGATCACCAGTTAATGCACTAATATAGCAAACGGTAATGAGTGACCAGTCACCAGGTAATTATATCTCCAGCCATTTCCTTTGGCTTTTACTTTATAATTATAGGCTGTGTGTTTCTGTCAGCGTAATTAGCTCTGCTCTCTGTTAACACATTGAAAAGCTGCTCGGTGTCTGGCTATGTTAAGATCGCTATGGCAACCGCATGTAAGCTTTGGCCTGGTTGGTCTGACCTAAAGAAGAGTGTCGAGATTCAACAAACGAAAATGAGCAGAGAGTAGAGTAAGCTGCTTCTGAAAACACCAAAGCATGTGTTTTCAAAAAACCCAAACCTGCTCAGGGTTTACACCAGACTGCATCTTTATACGCGCACTCATCTCTCACTGTCTTTCTAAGAGCATGTCAACTTGTTTTCATGCTAGAGCTGAAGAGAGGCAGTCGGTGTGAGGAACACCATCTGCTGCAGTACCTTCTCCCAGTGCACAATCTCCCAGGCGCCGTTCCTCAATACTAAAAACAGAGAGAAAGAGAGAGAAAAGTCAGGAAATGTGGTGCACATGAATTCCTGAGATCATCTTTGAATGAAGCATGTTAGTGTCTGTCTTAAATTACATCTACACTACTTGACAGAAGTTGTCGCCTATTCAAGTTTAAGGAACAACAAATCATAACTTGACTTCTAGTGGATCATTTGGTATCAGAAGTGGCTTATTTGAAAGGTAAAGGGCTCTAGATTACGCTTATTTTACCAAATAAAATATGATCATGCCTTGATTTGTAATTATTTCATTAGGATAGTAAGGTCTGACAATGCCTAGACAAAAGTCTTGTCATTTAACAGGAATAATGTAATGTAAAGTTATTATTTGTTGCTCTTACAACACTTACGACAAGACTGTTGTCAGGGGGTGTACAAAAAGGCAATCTAGGGGCCACTTTAATGTTTTAAGTATCTTTCAAATGTCAAATAGTGGTAAAATAATGTTTCATCATCATTCAGAGTAGCATCATTACTTATTTCAAATTGAAATACTAGATTCATTATATCCTATGCTTTAAATAATGCATACTCACTGCAAAAAAAATTTAATTAATTAAAAAAAAATCTTACTAGGTTTTGTCTTCTTTCTAGTCTAAAAAATTCTTAAACCAAGAATCATTTCCAAGACAGGTAAAAAAAAATATTGTATTGTTTTCAGATAAATAAGTAAAAAAATAAGTGTATTAAAAACAAGCAAAGAAATCAGTAAACAGAACTAAGAATGCGGAAATCTACAAGAAACTGTATATACTCATTTTTTTACATGTTTTTTTTTACATTTTTTTTTGATGCTACTTGTTACACTTTCAGTTCCTATTCTCTTAAAATTTTCCCGCAAAAACCCAAACATTTTTATAAAATTTATTATTAATTAATTTAGTTATTAATTCTACGCAAAGATGGCAAAAAACAAAATAGCTAGTAATCAACCAATGGTTTATGTAATAAGCATAATAATTTTAACTGCTAAAAAATGCTTCTTTAAGTTTTTTTTATATTTCTATTAAGCTAGAAACAGGACAAAACCAAACTAATTTTTTTTATGCGCCTAAATTAAAAGGATAAGTGATATTTTTTCATCATAATATTGCTATAAATAAAACAAATTAAACAGCACATATTCTAAAGTCAAAATTAAAGCAGAAATACATTTTGTTTTGATGTCTCATGTTTTATAACTGATGTACACTGACAACTCATATTGTACTGTCAACATTGGCATGTAAAGAAACGGAATACCGTTTGCCATACCCAGCAAAAGGGAAGGGTTGACAGGTATGACTCATGGGCATCCAAACAGGCAAATCATGCAAATGTATAGTTTAAAAAAAGAACAGTGAGCAAACAAAAGCCTTACCTTGTGTCTCTTTCTTGTTGACAACATTATCAGCATTGTGACGTTTCTGGAAAAAGAAAAAAAAAAAATCAATTCATTTCAGATTAAAGTTTTAAATACTTGTAGATGGAATTGTCTGGATTTTTTTTTAGATGTAACATTAATGCACAGTGTTACAAATGTCTGCATTAGGGATTTTGAAAAACTTCTATAGTAACAGTCCACTGGCCATGACAGCATGCATGCTATAAAAAGATATTAGATTTTTTTTTAAAAAAACCTCTCCAAAATAAAACTAATTTTAAATAGAGAAATGGATGTTTTGCTTGTTTTGTGATAAATAGAACAGATGCATGTCTGTCAAAGCACTTTGTTCTGTCCCAGATTACAAAAGCAGATTGATATGCTCTAATCAATAACTACTCTACAATTTTCTGGTGATGATTGGCATGTGTGTAGGGGTGGAACAACCACATAACTGGTGATGATTGGCATGTGTGTAGGGGTGGAACAACCACATAACTGGTGATGATTGGCATGTGTGTAGGGGTGGGACAACCACATAACTGGTGATGATTGGCATGTGTGTAGGGGTGGGACAACCACATAACAGGTGATGATTGGCATTTGTGTGGGGGTGGGAAAACCACATTACTGATGACTGGATAAAAATGCCTTGAAGCTTTAAAAAGAGGTAGACGGAGCCTCTGTATTAGATTAACTAAAACTAGTTTATCATTGTTCTAGCATGGTTTCTTTGATCTTTTTCTTTTATAAAGTTATGCAATAGTTCCATTCCCTGCTAATTAGTTACTTTTATAATGACGTAATGCAGTTACTAACTCAGTTACTAGTTACTTCTCACAAAACAGACTATAACTAATTACTTTTTGTTAAGTAACATGCCCAATACTGCTCTCTCCTCTGGAGATGAAGGGAGTAGACATGGAAACAGAGCGGATATCAGGCTCTCATGAGGGAAGTGATGATTTGATTACGCATCTAATCGAACTGATGGTTGTCTGCAGTGAACATGATAGCAGGAGGATGGTGAAAGGAGGCCAAAGGGAAGAGGAGACGGTGGCTTGGGCTTGTGTTGAGATGCAGCTGGATTAATGGAGTACAGCGGTGTGCAGGTGATAAGGAGAGCAGTGGAGCGGCATGTCTTTGTTAGAAATGCTGGATTATTATGAGTTATGGATTAGAACTCTGCCTGCTGGCTTCTTAGAATTCTTTTGAAATTCGTATATAAAGGCATTGTAGGAGTGCGGCAAATAATAAGTGTGAAACACAACAACCATTGGAAACTTTGGGCAGAGTTACTTTAACTTAAACCCAAGACAAAATTTAAATTGAATTAAAATTGACAGTAAAGACATTCATAATGTTACTACAAAATCTTATGACTGACGGACAGACAAACATACAGATAGATTTGTTTTATCAAATGGTTAAGCACAAAACATCAGAATCAGAATCAGAAAGAGCTTTATTGCCAGGTATGTTTGCACATACGAGGAATGTGACAGAGCTTCTACAGTGCAACAGAATTACAGAGACAGGACAATAAACAGATAATAAATAAATAAAAAAGCAGTAAGAAGTGAATGCAAAATATACAGATAGACAAGTGTATGGAGAGCTATATTACTAAGTACAATGTTATATATGCAGCTGTTAATCTTCAAATTGGCATGTAAAGTGTGTTGTTAAATAAGTGTATATGTGTATAAAAGTGTATGGCAAGTAGTGATGTTTGTTCCACAATTATTATTATCAAGTGTTCATGAGATGGATTGCTTGAGGGAAGAAACTGTTTCTGTGTCGGGCTGTTCTGGTGCGCAGTGCTCTGTAGCGTCGACCAGAAGGCAACAGTTCAAAGAGGCAGTGTGCTGGGTGTGAGAGGTCCAGCGTGATTTTGGCAGCCCTTCTGCTTGCTCTGGATAAGTACTGTTCTTGGATAGTAGGGAGGGTTGTACTGATGATAATAAATTATTATGAATGTATAAAGGCAGATGAAAACAAAAGTTCATCTAAATACTTACCAAATATAAAGCCTAAATTTACACTAGACATGATAACCGTGAAACCATGATTATTTTTCAGACTATATAACAGTGCATCCAAAATCTATATGTTAGCGTATGTTAAAAACAAACAAACAAACAATAAATTCAAAGTGGATCAGAATGAATTAATGTGGAATAAAATGGACATTAAATTAGGTAAATTGTTATAGTTATTATAAAAGAGCGAACACTTTTCCACTAAAGCGGGCATGTCCAAACTCGTTCCTGGAGGGCCGGTTTCCTGCAAAGTGTAGTTCCAACCCCAATCAGACACATCTGATCTAGCTAATCAAGGTCTTAATAGGCTTTCTAGAAACATCCTTGCAGGTGTGTTGAGGCAAGTTGGAGCAAAAACCTTCAGGACACCGGCCGTTTGGACACCCCTGCACTAAAGCCAATCATTCAGATTTGGAATGAGAGTAAATGTCAAATTTCTCTGATAAACCATTTGTTTTAACAAAACTATTTGATGGCATTTTTTAATGCATGTACTAAAATAGGTGTGCTCTGATTAGCCAAAACCCTAAATCAGGGCTATTCAATTGACGGCCCGCCAATTTGTGTCACCAAGACATTAGTGATGGGAAGTTCGGATCATTTTACTGACTCGGATCTTTGAGTTTCGTTCATCAAGATGAACGAATCTTTTTTCGAGTAATTTCGTTCATTTGGTCCAATTTGCCAAAATATTATTAAAATGTTATGAATTTTTTCCAAACACATCTACAACTAGCCCAAAAGGTTGATTGCACTACAAATAAGTCATAAGTAGAATAGGAACGAGTGACTCAGACCCAATAGAGGACTCGAGAGATGAACGCATCAAAACTTTTTCCGGCTCTAAACGCATATGATTGGCTCGTGATGAACGAATGTCTCAGACCCGATAGAGGACTCGAGAGGTGAGCGGATCAATTGTTTTTCCGGCTCTAAACGCATATGATTGGCTTCAGCCAATGTGATGAAGACTTGAAATAAACGATACTACCTGCACAAATGTGGATGAACGAATCACTTCCTGAGAGGACTCATAGTTCCCGAGTCATATTGAAGATTCGTTAAAAAAGAACGAATCGTTCATGAACGACCTATCACTACAAGACATCAAAAATAAATTTAGTTCAGTCGAAAAACGGCAGCTATCAAGTGACATATGCCTGTTCAATACAGCACGAGCAGCAGTTGAAGGATGCACAGAGCGTGATTTACTTGCCATTAAGCGAGTGAGTGGTGCAAGCAGCCGAAAATATTTGGATACTTAATCGTAACGGCTTCTCAACGTCGCATTTCAGTTGCACAGAATAAAACTGCTGCAACAAAACAAAGTCATGCTACCTGTGCGCTTTAATGTTACGAGCTTATACACCAAGGCTAATAAACATGCACACTGGATAAACAATAGCAGCAGGCCATTTACATATCGCATCTTTTCCACATGCAATTTCGCTATTTCCAATGTAATAATATATACACAACATGCGTGTGCAAGCGAAACAACGCGCTCGCGCCTTACACGTTCACTGAGTAGAAAACATCTGATGCCGTAGCGGTGAGAGTTATGCAAGGCTTTCAGTGCAATGTAAACAAAAGATACGTTAGTAGAATTATTACAAATTATTACAATTATTATGAATGTATGAACGCAGATGATAACAAGAGTTCATTAAAATTCCTAATATAAAGCTTAAATTTACATTAGACGTGATAATCGTGAAACCATGATTATTCTTATAGACTATATAATCGTACAACTACAATCTATAATTGTTGCATTCATAATTGTTATGCTGTTCAAATCATAACATATGAATGTGTCTGAATGAAGAAAAAGCCTACTTAGGCAATGCACTGCTTTTGTTGTGCTTTGAAAAACATATGAATGTCTGTAAAAAAAAAGCCTATTGAATAATGCACTGATATTATGTAGTTTCAAAATACAATATATTAACATTTTAATGTAGAAAAAGCCAATGTGGGCATTTTAGGGAGCAAAAATATACCATATGGGTTCTTATATGCAGTTGTGTAATCACTCATATTGCAAGTCATGTCTCTCCGGCCCCTCATTTGGGATGCCTTTCATGAACTGTCCCCCATGACAAACTAATTGAATAGCCCTGCCCTAAAGCATATTAAAGAAATTTAAGTCACCGTAATATAACCATAGTTTTCAATTTCGAGGGATCAAAAGCAACTCTTAACTGTTAATAAGAACGTCAAATTTTATGAGATAAGCATTTCCACTGTTATGGATTTGACTTTTGCAGTAAAATCTTAAAACATAAATTCACATGGAGAGAATTATTTAGGATTTTATCAAAACATCTGTGGGTGACGCAGTGGCGCAGTAGGTAGTGCTGTCGCCTCACAGAAAGAAGGTCGCTGGTTCGAGCCTCGGCTGGGTCAGTTGGCGTTTCTGTTTGCGCGGGTTTTCTCCAGGTGCTCCGGTTTCCCCCACAGTCCAAAGACATGCGGTACAGGTGAACTGGGTTGGCTAAATTGTCCATTGTGTTGAGTGTTAATGAGTGTGTATGGATGTTTCCCAGAGATGGGTTGCAGCTGAAAGGGCATCCGCTACGTAAAACGCGTGCTGGATAAGTTGATGGTTCATTCCGCTGTGGCGACCCCGGACTAATAATTATTTATATTTATAATCAGAATTTTGGAATCAGAAAATATCAATTTGCAAACATTTCTTTAGATTATAAATGAAGAAAATAAACATGTGCTATGGATGTGACCTAAACAGTTAGCGAGTTTAACAGTATGCAACATACTTTGTGGAAATTCTGTGAATTAAACTGCACAACCCAATGCTAAACAATGCTAATCAAAAGGATAAGAGTTGGCTCTTTATAGAACAAAAATCATTCATTTGATTATATTTATGTTCTGAATGTGACATCTCTCCGTTAGGGATGTGACAGATGTAAAATTGTGAAAGTTTGACTTTGGTAAATCAAGTATAAATGTTTGGAAACATTGACAGAGAAATGTTTGAGCATTTTACAGTACCTTAAAAAAAAACAAGCCTAGAAAGGGATTCTCTATTTTGGCTATTTCATGGCAAGGTTGACCTTCGCGTGGAATTGCACGGATGTCTAAAATTTGGAGTTTGTTTTCACTATCAACAGTTCATGAAAAAGTCCAACTATGATCCAACTTCTAAAATGTACCAAAGGACCTTCACTCCACGGCTAGTTTCAACACCTCAGACCTGAACAACACATCAGAGACAGGTACAAAGTGCTGAAGTGGTGATTCTGACCACAGGCTCCAGCGTGATGTGATCGAATGGCCGTCCAGAAAGCAGGCTCTGATTTCAGGCTCGCAGCACTACAGCGGATCCACTAAGTGTTTACTGCTCTATGCAAATTTCACTGGAAAATAGATCTTGGAATTCATCTGCATGCCAAACGAGAAGTTGTTCAGGTCAGAAAAGAAGAAAAAAAGCAGGCAGAAAAGGTTATTGACTAGAAAGCGTTTGGCTAATGGGAGTGAGATGCATCCTGTAGAGTGAGATTGAATTATCAGGAAGAGAAAAGGAGGTAAAGCCGAACGCAGCCTAAAAACTGACTCAGATGATATAACATCGGTGAAGGACAAAGGACAAAGAAACCCTCAGCAGGCACGACTGCACATCCAGCACACAGAGTAGAATTCTTCATTAATTACTCATTGAATATTAACTGCAAATATTAATTAATAATTAATTAGTTTTCATTAGCCCCTTTCATACACACAGACTTTTCTGGAAAATTACAGGAAATTTCCGTGAACAGTCCCTTTTTGAAAATACCAGTAAATTTTTTCTGGAAAGAGAAGTTGTAACATTACCAGTAATTTGCCGAAATGCTGCTCTGTGAGAACACAGAAGGAAAATTGTCACATTTAGAACGCAATGACATGGACGTCTACTCTGACCAATCAAATGCATTCGCATCAGCGCTTTTTATTAAAATAAACGCTTTAGTCGGCGCTAGTGGTGTAGTAGTTAGTGCGTCGACACATGCACTCCAACCCGGGTTCGATTTCGCCTCGTGGTCCTATGCCAATCCTTCCCCTCTCTCTGTTCCCCATGCTTTCCTGTCAATTCTCTCTACTGTCCTATCAAAAATAAAGGTGAAGACCCAAAAAAAATTATTATAAAAAATAAATAAATACAAAATAAACGCTTTAAATCCTTTTCCAGATATATTTAGCTGCTGCTTATGCTGCGTTCACACAAGAGCGGGATAAAGCGTCAAGCGCGAGGGATTTACATGTTAAGTCAATGCAAAGACTGCGGTGCGATACGTGCAAATGAGAGGGTATAAATGGTGCGATTCGTGCAAATGAAGCAGCACGAGTTGATCATATTGCGAAATATTGCTCGAATTGAAAAATCTGAACCTCAGCAGACTTTTGTGCTGCGTTAACCAATCAGGAGCTTACTATATTTATATTATATTTTTATATTATATTATTATCAACTTAAGTAAAATATTAAAAGTTTAAATAAATATATTTTAATACATTATATTTCAACCCCTCTTGTGCTTAATTGTCAGCAGCTCACAAGCAGCCCAAATGCCAAAATTTGTTCAATCTGATGATCAAGTTCCCCACCCTGATTTGAGATCATCCATCATGTACTTCAATGAAATGAACATCTAACCATCTTATCAACAGAGCTCACGTGCATTTCTTTATTCCCAGCAAGTTAGTGTACAGTAACATCACAAATCTTAGATTTCTCTCACCAGATCTTCAATAATCTCCTTCACTGCCGCAACCACCAGGATGAAAAGTAATGGCACCAGCGTTGTCCATCGTCCCGTTGGCGACACATCAGGGATTTGCTGTCAACAAGAAAAAAATTTAAGTCTGATTAGTCACATAAGAAAAAAAAACATAATATCAAATCAAATCAAATCAAATCAAATTAAATTAAATCAAATCAAATCAAATCAAATCAAATTAAATTAAATTAAATTAAAATCAAATCAAATCAAATCAAATCAAATCAAATTAAATTAAATTAAATTAAATTAAATTAAATTAAATTAAATCAAATCAAATCAAATTAAATTAAATTAAATTAAATTAAATTAAATTAAATTAAATTAAATTAAATTAAATTAAATCAAAATCAAAATCAAATCAAATTAAATTAAATTAAATAATTAAATTAAATAATTAAATTAAATAATTAAATTAAATTAAATTAAATTAAATTAAATTAAATTAAATTAAATTAAATTAAAATTAAATTAAATTAAATTAAATTAAATTAAATTAAATTAAATTATATTAAATTAATCCCTACCGTTGAAAAGAACATTTTTTTTAAATGGACTTTAACATGGTGCACGAATACAAAGACCAAGTAACTAAAGACATTCTGAAGCATTAAAATGTATGAGCTTATGAGCAACACTTTAATCATTTTTGTTGATTTTTGATATTTATGGACTTTTATCATAGAATAGTTTGGACTAGGGCTGCACAATATATGTCGTTTCAGGACGGATACTGCAGTGTGCGCATCTGCAATAGTTACATCGCCGGATATGCAATGTCAAGCCGAGTTTATAGTTGAAAACATACATGATTTTGGAGTCACTGCAAAGTTTAACTATAAAAGTTCCCAACACATTATAACTTAATATGCATTTGTTTTAATAGCCTATAAGCATTTCAACCCAGTGTAAAACATTCTGGCACAAGAAATTACAATAATTGTAACTTTAAGAAAGATTAATATGCATTTTTAAGGGCCAGATTTCAAGCATTTTCATCGTAAAAATGTTGCCAAACTTCGACATATGCTATCAAGGTCTGATGACCTCTAGGTTAGATTATTGTAATGTGTTATATTTGGTTTGTTATATTTTATGCACATGCGCTAAACTACAAAAATCATCCCAAACAATCTAAAATGATCAATTCTTTAATTTCAAATAGAGCCATTAATTTCATCTGGTGAAAGTATAGTCAATATAGCAAGAAAATACAAAAGAAATTCCAATGTCAGTTTATTACAATATTGTACAACCATAGTGTGGACAGATTGTGAAGGTGCTTGTCCCTGGCGGTGTGTGTATTTATCACCAGGAGGTCAAGAAAGCAACCTAAGGGAATGGCCACAATAACCATCAGAAAGTCAGCAGCAGTCAGTCTGATGGATGTTCAGATGTCGGTATGTGACATATCTGTCTGAACTGCTCGACAGATAAGCTAAGACCAGCAGGAATTTACAGACTGGTTCAGGCTGGTTAGGTGATGGTCAGGCAGTTGGGATTGGCCTTGTGTGAATTTACTGCTCTGTCGGTAAAATGTGCCGCGTCATCATTGAAACGCATCATCTGCCTGTGTTTTAAAGCCTTGACATTTAAAACATTCAAGTCATTTTAAATCAATTGAAGCAAATTCACTTTGGTTTTCCTGCACTAAATGGATTGAATGAATGAACTGTGGTTGTTAAAAATCCTAGGATGTCCTTCAAAAAGGAGTCGGCATCTTGGCCAAATTTACCCACTAGCGTCTGTGGCTTCCTAACCATCCCTATATCGTAATTGGTGCAGTCTGGCGCAATACGGCTGCCATCGTGTCTTCCAGGTGAATGCTGCACACTGGTGGTGGATGAGGAGATTCCCCCCAATGTGTCAAGTGCTTTGAGTGTCCAGAAAAGTAAATAAATAAAGTAAAAATAAATAAGTAACAATAATATGTAATGAATTATTTTTATATTTATTATTATTAAAGGGCAATTTAAAGGTTTATCTAGGTTATTAGTTTAACTATGCAAGGTAGGTTGATTAAGCAGATCATAGGACAACAGTGGTTCATTTAGTAGCCAATCAATAAAAACTCTAAATCATTGATGGAGTAATAATACTGATACTTAGGCCCAATCCCAATTCTACCCCTTAGCCCATCCTCTTACCCTTACCCCAATAGCCCACCTGCCACAGCAGCAGCATTGCTGAACCCGGAAGTAAGGAGATCAACAAATTTGTATTTTTTTGTCATTGCTACAAATTTTTAAGACAAACAAACACATGTTTAATATATTCATAACCATGTTCATGTTTTACCATCATGCTTAAAAAAAAGAAAAAAAAGAAGAAAAAAAACGCTAAAATTTCAAAAACTTTCAATTTTTTAAATAAATTTCCATCTATAATCTCTAACATTAACTCTTGTATAGCAGTTCCACAATATTTTGACACCTGATGACACTCAAATGCCCTGTCAGTAATGTCTAGTGGCTGAGAATGAGCTGTTTACAGTGTCTGTTATGATGTTAATGTTGTTTTAGTGTGTTTACATGAATGAATAGGGCCAGGGTGTAAATACACAGTACATTATGATCTTATTGTCACATTAGATCGTTATGATAACGTAATATATATCTTCAGTGATTTCCTAAAGATAAATACCAAATAATAGCACAACTGGAATAACTACAGCAGTCGCGATCGTCTGATCTCATATGAAGCGAGAGATCGTGATGACATAAGATGACTGATGCAGGTGCTGTAGTGCTGTGCCAATTCTTAGGGGTAAATTTTGAAGCCCTTCCCCTTAACCCTCCGTTGTACAGGCCAAGGGGTAGGGGTACAAAAATAGAATTGGGATTGGGCCTTAAAATTGCTATAAAAAATAAATAAATAACATTATTGTTCCAGCCAAACTAGAACAAATCAGACTTTCTCCAGAAGAAAAAAAATAAATTTACATTTAGTCATTTAGCAGACACTTTTATCCAAAGCGACTTACAAATGAGGACAAGGAAGCAATTTACACAACTATAAGAGCAACAATGAATAAGTGCAGTAGGCAAGTGAAACGCCAGTGGGCAGTGTGGTGTAAATGTTCCTCTGTGTCGAGTTTCTTCGCTGTTGTGTTGCTTTTCCTGAACACTTCCGGGATGTACAAGTGGCTCAAACTCGCTCATTTTGAGGCAGGAACCGGCGGACGTGCAACAACTTTAACTATGAGGTAAACACAAAACAAAAATTTCCATCCGGAGCTCCTTCACGGGACTCAAAACTTGTAAACAATCGCTCCATCAGGCTCGCACCATTCACATGGCTCTCGGTCCCGCCCAGACTCGTCAGCGCTACCAAGCCGACCAATCACAGAGCTTGCGCTACGCATCGTTGCGACGTGTAGTTACATTTTTTTGAGAGGTGCACATCAGTGATACCGATGGCCACGGCGAAGGGCTATGCGTCGGCGCCGTAGCATTCGCCGGCGTTGGACGCAGAAGTATAAATCAGCCTTAAGAAGCAAAGCATTAGTAATGCAAGTTTTTTTTTGTTTTTTTTGAGTACAGTTAGCATATATATAATAGAAAATTATTTGATATTAAATCAATTATTATAGGAAATACTGGGAAAAACGTCTCTGCTCTGTTGGGAACTTATGAAAGATTTTTAAAAATTAAATTTGTAACTTTGGAAAATCAAATCAGCAATTTTTTTTTTCAAATGTATTCTTTGCTTAATAATTAATTTTATACATTATTTATAGAGACATCAGCTATGCTTAAAAATATACATTTTATTAATGAATATTATTTTAATTAAAACTTGAGAAGGCAAATAAACATTTGGCTTAAATCAAGCCAATGAAAAACAATCCTCAGCATCGAGTCCCATCATACATAATTCACACCGCAGGAACCAGATTAATTAAACTTCTACAATTTCTCTCCTGATTTTGGCAAATCTCGCTGTGCTTACATAATATCAAGAAGCGGATCTCTTCTGGAACCTGGCCCTATCAGATAAAGTGTCCGAGCTGTGACAGGTTCAGACAGAGGCCAACAATGCAAAGACATACAATAGGAAACCCGAAACGAATTCCTTTTAACCCGATGCCAACACACTTTCCCTTCAGCGTTACGTTTCACTTAAACAGCAGCGTACGTTCACAACCAAACCACAACGACACACTTCCACTACAGAATCAATCTACAATGATCAATTATTTCCAAATAGAGCTATTCAAGTCATCTGGAGAAATTGACCTAACAAAATATTGCCATGTCAGAGTTTTCCAATATCGTCTTGTTGATCATGACTGCATGTCTGCAAGAAGTGTGAGCAGATTTGATGAAACGCCATCCATAAACATCAGATGCTCTCCTTGGCCTCCTTGTTGCACTGCAAACAGTTTTTCTCATTTCGCAGCGCGGCTGTGCATTCAAGGTCAAGGCATTGACAGCGGCGTAATGAAGATGCACCGGAGCCACCTGACTCCCTCCGCTTTTACTCGCAGTTTCTTTCTCAATCTCTTTCTCCCGCAGGTCATCCATTCAGCTGCTTTAAAAACAGAGGTGCTAATTCAACGTGCAGCACATCTGCAGAGTCACGCCAGGTTTTCTGAAAGAACAGAGTGTTTATAGCACTCTGGAGCCCCCGCTCACTGCGCCATCTGGTAATTACACAGATGCTGAAGCAGTGGAGCCAAAAATATAGTCACCTTAGTTTCTAAAGCAGCATATTTACACTACACTGCAGTTCAAAAGATTGGGGCTGGAAAGATTGTTTTTTTTTGTACTTTAAAGTGTGTGTGCTGTGTTTTTTTGACCAAGGATGCATTTATTTGACTAAAAACACAGTAAGATAATCCCTTGAACTTTACAATTTAAAGGGGTAGTTTCATCAAAAATAAATATACTGGCATTTTTACTCATCTTTTACTTGGTTCAAAACTTTATTAGATTCTTTAGCTGTTTTTCATTTCAGAGGCTGCATTTTCTGAGGGCTGCAGACTTCACAGGTGAGTCCATCGAAGTCCACACAAGCCGAACTGAGCATTTTGAAATGAGATGATCTAGCCTATAGGGGATAAATCTTGTCACCTAACAACCGTACCAGCTGCCATTAATAAACTGCAATAAAATTTGTCATGACTTTTTTCCAAAGTGATTTTAAACCTTATTTTAAGCGACCTGATGGCAAAGCAACCTTTACAGAAACTGAAAATAATTTCCTTTGATCCAAACATGTACACATAAAAATGTAAACTGCTTCTTTAAGTCACTCTTTAGTAAGTCATGTTATACTCTTTTTGGTTTTTTTAACATGTGTCTAGATATCCAAGTAAAATAAAACCTAATTCATACAATTAATCTTAAGTTTCCTTTTAAAAACATCCTGTCGTTATCAGCGAGCAACTATTCTTGGGATGATCTAGGCCACAAAGGTTTTTGAGGCAGCATTTTTTGGATCCTTCGATTTTTTTTTTTTCAATGAGACCCTTTGAATCAGTTGTTGCTTGGTCAGATATGGTTGCGGCGGAAAGTTAGCAAAAAATATTTGTTATTATTTTTTAAATTTCCCATTATTGCATTTTATTAATGTCTAAACATCCCCCACCCCGCCCAAACACACACACACACACACACACACACACACACACACACACACACACACAAAACCCTAAACCCAACCATCACAGTAACAGTATTTGTATCGAGTTTTACTTATGTTATCTATTAAATTACCCAATAATTTTTATTTTTTAACGTCTAACCCTACCCCAACCCTAAACTTAACCGTCATAGTAATGTAAAAACAGTAGTTGTACAGAGTATTATTTATGTTAACCATTAAATTCCCCAATAAATTGTATTTTTTAACGTCTGCCCCTCACCTTAACCCTAATCCCAATCATGCAGTAAGGTAAAAACAGTAGCTGTACCAAATATTATTTGTTATTTATTAAATAACCCAATAAATTGTATTTTTTAAATGTCTAACCCCTACCCTAACCCCAACCATCACAGTACTATAAAATATTAATTATTGTTATAGTGTCATAAAAAAATGCTGTTATATTGATGTGCATATCACACTTCCGGCCGGCCGTGTATCCCATCTAGACTTGCATCCTTCGGAGGATGCAGCCTCTGAAAAGAGACACAGCTTTTCTTCTTTTGAACATAAACATTTAAAAAAAAAAAATAAAAATAAAAAAAGCTGGAAACCAGTAACCATCGACATGCATACACTGAACTTAAACAGCAAAATTTCTGGAGATTTTTAGAGGGAAACTTATTGTTTTAATGTTCAATCCACTTAAATGTGTTACGTTAACGAAATCTGTTTGTATAAAAACAACAGGATTTTTCCCACTGTTTTGCCTTGTGTTCAAAAAAAGAGAAAGAAACTCAAATGTTAATATATACTTGAGGGTGAGTGCATTTTCATTTTTTGAGTGAGCTATGTAGGGTTGAACAGTATGACAAAAAAATTCAAGGGTATTTCATGGAAGAAGTCATTTTGATTTGATGGTATCAATATATTTCGCTAAATTTACATAATCTTCAATCGCTTGCAGTGCGACTCTGAAGTGCTGGACTGCATGTTTGCAAGTTTACTCCTTAACAAATCCCATAATGTCGATGAAATGTTGTGCACTGTCAAAGACACCTGCAGTTGCTCCCAAAAGGCAGAGGAAGATGCAAACCAACAAAAAGTTTAACTTCTAGACGTGCTAAAGGTAGAAGTTACACGGCTGTAGGGAACCATTATGGAATAAATACATAAAGATCAAACGGTTTTGATTTTTGGTTTCATTCTATAACACTGGACTCATTTTTCTATGAAAGTTTGAACTTTTAGTGCGTTTAAACGAAAAAATTTTTTAATTCCTGTCCGAGAAAAAATAAAATAAAATAAAAAATAAAAATAAAATAACCTGTGTAGCAAGGAGTTTCGCCTATTGCAGGCTATTTTTAGAACGTAACTCCTGCGAATAACAAAGAACCACTGTATAGGATATTGACAGATATTTTCAAGCAGTGCAGAAATATTATCAAAAGCCTTGCTCAAAAGACAACAGGTATTAAATCATATAATTTGTTGAGGCATCCTTTGCCGAAGTTTTTTTGTTGCACATCAAGGAATTTAAAATGACACCTTGTCACTTCCATTCCATGTCTTTTATGCAATCCCAAAATGCACATTGAGATATATTGAAGGAAGCATAGCTGCAATGGCCTCACCTGTAGAAGTGCGATGAACAGGAAGAAAGAGTTTGCGGCTCTTCTGAACTGAGAGTACAGGAACCGAGGCAGGAACGTGAGGACGTTGTACTTTGCAGTGCTGGATAAAAGACAAGAGAAGAAATAAGAAATGAGATGTTTAAGTTTACAGAAATGACTACAATATAAACGACCTGACATCACCTGCAGACTGGGCTGGCATTTTATTTGGCATCCATTATGGTTTTCTTTAAGCGGGTAGGAAACTGATTTGCAGTAGCCATGAGCTAACGTAAAAATCAAACTTTCTTTCTCTAAACTAGAAATGCCAATGATGGTCGAGGATTCTTTAAATCCATTCTAATGTTTACCAAGTAGGACATCATGATCATGCATAGTTTTGAGGTGTACTGCATGCTGCTTATAAGGAACACATACAGCAGACATGAGGGTAAAACGGAGCAAAAGTTTAAACAAATATTGAAATGTTATTCATGGAAGACTGTAAAAAGTGAGCTAATAAAAGTTTAGCAAATGATGGACATTTATGACTAAACATCTGCCTTTTTACATCCTCCAGATTTCCACCATTATGCATAATATTCTATAGAGTAGATTTGGGAAGAACTTATGGCTGTACGATTAATCGAAATCGAATCGCAATCACAATTTGAAACATTTCGATTAGCTAATCGCAAAAGGCCGCATTATGATATTTATATGTATTATAGTACATCATTTCCCCCACCCAGAGCAAATGTGTGTAGCCAATTGAGTGAGCTCACTTTCGTTCTGTCCAATTAGAATTGCGTAATCGAACTATGCTGAAAGCCCACAATAAAACAAGCTGGAAAGCGCGGACAAGTGGGATGATGGCATCTGATGCCGCTTTAGAAGCATTAATGGACAAATTCATATCAAAGAAAATCAGTGTTGGTAATATGGGAATATTTTGGTTTCAAAATCACAGACACTGAACAAAAACAGGTAATACGGAAGAGCTATCGCAGAATTGTTGCCTTATCATGAGAAAATGCAACAACCAGCATCTAAAAAAGCACCACAGATGGCTATATGGATCATGTCTTGCTAAAAAGCCAACTAAAAGTATTGCCAGTGACATTCAATCTAGTAGCTAGCAAAAGCAAAATACAATTTCAGAGTTGTTTGCAGCTGTTACACCATATGAAAAACATCATGAAGGCACCAGGAGATGCTATAATGCCATAACTCACTACTGTTGGCTCAAGAGAAAAAAAAATAGTGTTTTTTCTTTCTAAATATTTAAAACAAACTTGAATAAACGTTGTAGTTAAAAAAGGAACTGAAAATATATTTTACTGCATTTAAGCAGTAAGAAGCTAAAGCTTGACTACAAAATTAAATCACATATCAAATCGAAATTGCAATATCTTTATATAAAAAATTTTAATATTTTCCCCAAATCACACAGCTCTAGAAGTACTGACAGTTACAGTTTACTTACATTGTAAGCATTTACTCACATTGAAACTGATTGATGCACCAATCGCCAGTATGTGCATCTGAGACTGCGATATTGACCCAGTTTAATTCTAATAACCTATATTTAATGTTCAAAGGGATCTATTCTATTGTCATTCATTTTTTAAAGTCCTAATAACCCTTTATTTACATAAAAAAACATCGTTAAGTGGCCTTAACTATTATGTACTAACATTTAAGTCAATCATTTGGTCCAATGCATTTATGCACCTAAATGTTTTAGAATTGTACTTACATTTTAAAAATAATCTGCATGTAATTAGATGTCATTAATTTGTCATTTCTAATTACACTGCTGACCAATCCCTTATTGAACATCGTAACCCTTAAACTCTCCAATACAACCAAACCTGTCCCTAACTATACAGTATCCCACCTAAATAGCATCTTTAGTGTTGTGCAATAGAATATGAACACATTACATGTACTTTTTTTTTATGCAAGTACCCAGTTGTTAAGGTCACTTAAAATAAAGTGGAACTATATTTTCATTTAGGTAAAGTATGCAGCCTGCATTAATACATTTATTAATGACTAATAGACAGGGTCAAACAGAATAAGCAAACAATTTTAGCCATTTAGAATTTATGCTGAATGATTTTGAGAGTACGGTAACTAAAAACTAAACACATTAAATAAAAAATATATAACGTTTTAACTTTTTAAATATAAGTCTTATATAATAAAGCTACTAAAAGACAGAAAATATTACTTAAACTCTGTTGTTCATAAACCATGCAAACATTTGCATATTATTCAATAATATTACTGAAAATAATATAAAAACTGAATAAGTATACAGTCAAGCCTGAAATTTTTCATAGCCCTGGCAAATTCTGAATGGCAAATATAAATAAAAGCACTGGCAAAGGTAAATAAAAGCTGAGAAATAGATTTTTTTCCCCAGAACGTTGCCTCTTGCACATCGTCTTACTGTCTTTTGGGAGAAGCAAGTCTAAAAAAAAACCTACACGTTGAATAAATATAAGAATTTGCGAGAATTTTGGGCTAGACCATACATTTACACACAATTACATAGGTAAATAAATGTATTGAAGGATGAGCTCAAAGATAAGCAGATTTCTGCATGTGCATAGTTTCTGTATGGATCTACCAATAGATTAATTGTCCACCAGATTGTACGAAGACAGATCATTTATGGAAATTTTCATCTCTACCATGGACACACCCAGTTTTGGGCACAAGCATAAACTCCCTGTGAGTGATGTAGAGAGGTAGTTAATGACCCTAAAGAGCAGCTAAGTTTGAGCGGGACAGATAAAGCAGGCTGTACAGAGCTCTGGGTTTGAGTAAACATCAATGCCAGAACCTCCATCTCTCAGACTGCAAACTGATTTATGCTCACATTAGGCCCAAGACAGCCAAGCCACTTTAGACCGAGATAAACGTCCCACTCTCAGCCCTGACACCTGCCTCGTTATCCAGCCACTTAATAGACGAACATTCCATCAGCATACGCAATTTACTTTTTTTACCATCACTGTTTGAATACTTTATCAAATAAAAACGATGGAAACTTCAAATTAAATTGTCACTTAGAGAATAAAATGACAACTGATCAAAATAAGAAATTCTGTGCTTTATAAATTCAAACTA